GGTCTCACTACACTGTCCAAGCTGATCCCAAACTCCTGGCCTTAAGGGATCCTCCTACCTCATTCTCCCATAGTGCTGGGATCATAAGTATGAGCCACAGCACCCACTCCAAGTATTGTAGTATTTGATCAGAGATGATATTGATAATTGTGGTTTTCATAGAGAAGTATAAATACAGGATGGGCATAAAGTTCATGCGCAATTTAAAATAGTTTTAACTTTAAATTGTACATGAACTTTATGTTCACCCTGTACTTGGCATCTTTGAACATGGCTGCAGAAAAGGCTTTACTGAGTGACCACAATCTGGATATCCTCCCTCTGAATCAAATATACCATATTTTTCAAGTGGTCAAGGTGCAGGTGCCCTTATCCGCAATCCTGAAATCCATAAGAGCTGGAAAGGTGAAAGATTTTTTAAGAACGCATTTGATGACAAAACCTGAGATGAAGGTATTTATAGTCTACAATCATTCTACCTGGTATGAATATTTGGGCATTTTTCTGCAGAAATGTTTTATTTCGACTTGGCGCCTGTGGCTCAAGTGGCTAAGGCTCCAACCACATACACCTAAGGTGGCAGGTTCAAATCCAGCCTGGGCCCACTAAACAACAATGATGGCTGCAACCAAAAAATACCCGGGCATTGTGGCGGGCACCTGTGATCCCAGCTACTTGGGAGGGTAAGGCAGGAGACTCACTTGAGCCAGAGAGTTGGAGGTTGCCGTGAGCCAGAGAGTTGGAGGTTGCCGTGAGATGCCACAGCACTCTACCCAGGGTGACAGCTTGAGGCTCTGTCTCAAAAAAAAAAAAAGAAATGTTTTATTTCATTGAAAATTTCCTTCTCACTGTTCACTGGGGTTTTATCACCAAATTTTCAGTATACTCATTGTATTCATCAGAAAAAAAAACTGAAATAAAAAACACATTTGACCCTAAGGGTAGCACATAAGAGATGAAAGACCTATTGTCTAGCCCAATTTAAGGCTAATACTAAAAAAAATTACAGATAATTTTCTTGCTTTGTGACATGGTATCTACTTTAGTGCTGTAGATAAGGCCATTTTGACGCTAGTAGTTGAGTGTTAACATTGCACATTGGCCAATCTAGATTATTTCTAAAGTCTTTCCAAAGACTTAGATGTGGAGGTCACCAAGCTTGCCCGACATTTCCCTCCTTTAAGGGCAATACTCAAGGTCACACCGTAGTCATCTTGGGAACTGTGCGGGCTTCTCTAGCACATGTACCAGAGGTATCTAATAGATTCCTCAGAATACCGAAGATTAACTTGGAAGTCCTTCCTCTTACACATGTATCAGGTTAGAACTTTCTGGGATAAAACTGTCAATTTTAATATAAGTTCATGTTATGAAATGAAGCATCAATGTTATCAAAACATTCTATTCTCAGCTGGGTGCAGTGGCTCACTCCTATAACCCTAGCATTCTGGGAAACTGAGGCAGGAAAATCCCTTGAGCTCAGGAGCCGGAGACCAGCCTGAGGAAGAGTGCGATCCCCATCTCTACTAAAAATAGAAAACCTGTCCAGGTGATGTGGCAGGCACCTGTAGTCCTAGCTACTCTGGAGTTTGAGGCAAGAGAATCATTTGAGCTCAGGAGTCTGAGTTTGCTGTGAACTGGGATGACACCCTGGCACTCTAGCCTGGGCAACAGAGTGAGACTCTGTCTCAAAAAGACAAAAAACAAAAAGTGTAGTGTCTACAAGCTGTCTTTAAAAGTGTGAATGGAGAGTTGACTTCTCCCATTATTTTTTTTTCCACAAATAAAATTACTTCCAGGAAATTTCCCTTCCCTTCTGTGTGAACTGTGGTGGGACATTCATGAGTAACACCCTTAGAACACCTAACTGTGTTGGGGAGATTCTGTTGCACAGGTATTTCATTTTATTGGTTTTATTTTACAAGTACACAATGTGAAGGGAACCCAATTTATTCCTTCTGGGGCTTTAAATGAAGGAATAATGAACCTGATCTCTCAGCTGTGAAATGGCGATAGCACTGTCCAGATCTCCCAGGAGTTAGCAACAATTTATTTTTATTTTTATTTATTTACTTATTTAGCCAGGAATAGTGTGTTGAGAATACCAACAATTGTTATAAAGTGCCAAAGTACAAGACAGCCTGCAGTACACAGTGGGTGTACGGGTATCTTTGTGTGTTTATAATCACCATTTCCATCAGGGAGAATAGCAAGGCTCACTTCCATTTAACCTAAATATAGAAGACAGGAACTGGCCTCTCCCTTCCACCAGCCAGAAACAGAAAAGAGAGGGGGATGCTCCAACGAAAGGTGGGAGGTGAGATGCTGTCTGAGAAGGCCGGAAGCACCACCAGCTGGCACAGAGCCCAGCACTTATAACCTGAAGAGCGGGGGAGCCAAGCTGAGGGCCCACATTTCTTTTAATTCAGTTTAACATATCAGAGGCTGGGTTTTCAGTGTTGAGTACCTGTTAGCAGCTACTGCCCCTGGAGATAGCAGAGAGTGCTGAGTGAGGAGAAGAATGAGGAGAAAGCAGGCCCCGCAGGCAGACTAGGACACGAGTTCACGACTGTTTCAGTACTTTTTTTTTTTTAGGACAGACTCTCACTTTGTCACTCTTGGTAGAGTGCCATGGCATCACAGCTCACAGCAACCTCAAACTCTTGGGCTCAAGTGATTGTCTTGACTTAGCCTCCCAAGTAGCTGGGACTACAGGTGCCCGCCACAACGCCCGGCTATTTTTAGAAATGAGGTCTCGCTCTGGCTCAGGCTGGACTCAAAGTCTTGAGCTCAGAGATCCACCAACCTCGGTCTCCCAGAGTGCCAGGATTACAGGCGTGAGCCACCGTGCCCTCCAGTTTCAGTACTCTTGACCCATCCACTGTGTAGGCCGAGACTTAGGGCCCCTCCTTTTGCTCACTCTGCCTGCACTCCTGGCTTTTGTGGGGGTGTTTTCCCCAGAACGTGTCTTGGGCACCCTGCTTTTCAGGTGGCTTATCAGAAGTAGCTCACAGCGGGGTTTCACAGAACCCAGGGGGCAAGCTCGGAGGGGTGGCCCCTTCTCAGGTGTGGTGACGTGAGCCATTTTGCTCATCAGCGGAGGGAGACCCTGATGATCCAAGCACCACCTGTCTCTCATCACTCCTGCCGGTCATGGGGAGGCTGGAATCCTGTGGCCGAGGAGAGCAACTGTGCTCCCAGGCCATGGAGTGAACATGTGCTTAGGAGGTGCCGAGGAAGGGGCCACGTGTGGGGCCACGTGTGGGGGAGACCACTGGCCTCATGGACAGGGGAGTCAAATGGAAAACGAGAAAGGGAAGCAGAACGGAGCGAAGCCAGAGGAGGGAAGGTGCATCTAGTAATTTCCTGGAGACCTGTCTTTGCCTCGGGGCCTCTCCACACTTCCTCAGCAGGTAACACGGCTGATCTGTGTGGTTCTGAGATAAAATGTGAACGTGAGGGTGTATGTGGAGAACTTGTTACGGGAACCAAGTGACCAGCTGTGCAGACGTTCCCGTCCATCTGTGTGAACATGGCACTTGTGAACTGAGACTTTTAGAATAATCTTTTGTGTTTATCTGGATGGAATTGAAGAACATTCCCTTCAATAAAGTATCTCAAGAATGGAAGAGCAGCCAACGTACTCAGCGAGCAGAATGCCTACAGGCCCACACAGGAGAAAATCACAAGCAAGGAGGGAGGAGGGCGAGGACTCAGTCATCCCCCTAACAGTACGAGGCAGGGGTATGGGGCACACCCGCGGGAAGGACTGAAAAACTACTAAGACTTTTCCTAACAAACGCAAACAGTGTAAACTAGTCGCAGATACTCTTGTATTAATCTGAAATAAGAAAAAAAGAGGTGAAAAATAATTTTAGAATATTGTATAAAGGAGATTTTAAAAGATCACATAGGAAAAGAAGGAAAAATTTAGAAAAATTTTTCTAAATGTTCTTGATGTGGGTGGATTGTTTGAGCTCAGTAGTTTGAGACCAGCCTAAGCAAGAAAGAGCAAGACTCCCGGGTGGCGCTTGTGGTTCAAGGGAGCAGGGCGCTAGACTCATTTGCCGGAGGTGGCAGGTTCAAACCCAGTCCTGGCCAAGAACAGCAAAAAAAAAAAAAAAGAAAGAAAGAAAGAAAGAGCAAGACCCCATTTCTACTAAAAATAGGAAAACTAGGCTCGGTTCCCGGTAATACATGGTTATAGCGCCAGCCACATACACCGACGTTGGGGGGTTCAAACCTGTCCCAGGCTAGCCAACCAACAATGACAACTGCAACAAAAAATAGCTGGGTGTTATGGTGGGCTCCTGTAGTCCTCACTACTTGGGAGGCTGAGGCAAGAGAACTGCTTAAGCCCAAGAGTTTGAGGTTGCTTGAGTGTGACGCCAAAGCACTCTACCAAGGGCAACACAATGAGACTCTGTCTCAAAAAAAAAAAAGAAAAATTAGCCAGGCATTGTATGGGTGCCGATAGTGCCAGCTACTTGGGAGGCTAAGGCAGGAGGATCACTTGAGCTCGAGTTTGAGGTTGCTGTGAGCTATGACACCATGGCACTCAACTCTAGGGCAACTGAGTAAGACTCTGTCTCGAAAAAAGAAAAAAAAAATAGGGGTGGTGCCTGTGGCTCAGAGGAGTAGGGCGCCAGTCCCATATACAGGAGGTGGCGGGTTCAAACCCAGCCCCGACCAAAAAAATTAAAGTGGAATAGTTTATCCGTTCCTCTAATCACCTGAAGACTCGACAAAATATACAGAATGTAATTGTCATGGTGCTTTGCTAAGCCTATCGGAAAATAAATTCAACTTGGCCCTACAAACGGATGTTCAGGAGTCCAGGGCACCAGGTCCTCTGTTCTCTGATCTGAAATGCTCAAAGCATGGAGGCAGAATGTACACAAGTTTAAGCTGTGGAGCTCTATGGAGCCACCTCTCAACCCCCTCTCCACCCTGCTGGAACTTATTTTTATATTGAAAACAGTTGAGCATATAAACACAAGTCAAAAGTTTGAGATGTTATTTGGGCCAGGTGTATTAAAATAAAATCCAAAAAATAGAAATATTAGGTATATACAGGACAGTGTAAGTGAAACAATCTGATATAGCAGATTCAAAGCTTACAATAGAAAAATTTAGTAAACAAAATCTCTTCAACTTCCTGCCATGTGGCTGCTGAGAGCCTCTGTAGTCACGTTTTCCCTCACATCCTTGAGTATAAATAGTCTCACACACATCGTACACAATTTAGAAAAGATTGCTGAATCACAAAAATAGCCCCAAATATGGCATTTCTTTCTTTCTAGAGCACAACTAAAATTAATATTTGATCCTGAAAATCACATTCAAATATTTTGAAGCAATAAGGGAAATTCTCATGTTTTAAAAAGCCCTCTGAGGTTCTGCAGAGATTAGAATCCTAATGTTCTTCCGAACTACATTGTCAAAAAAGTCTGTATCTAAGAACTGGTGGAAAGGGAAGAGTTGGACCATTAAAAATAATACTCCTGAGGCTCCTCTCCTGGAGGTGTGGGCGAGCCCTGTGAGGTCAGAGGTCCACATTGCACCTCGTTGTCCACATTGTGGCAGTTGTGCAGGCCCCCAAATGACACTCCTGCTGGACAGGAGAGGGGCATGCTGCTGCATGTCTGGCAGACCTGAGAGGTGTTCAAGGAAGGAGAATGTTTAACAGCCTCAGATTTCAGGGGCCTGGGGTTCAGGTAGGAAAAACAATAAGCCACAGAACTCTGGTAAAGACATTTTTAAAGTGGCTGACTTTACCTGCAAAGTCTAATAGGGTAGTGGTTAGTAATTTTTCTTTTTTTAACAAGTAAGCCAAAGCATAGAGAAAATGGAAAGGAATGTCATGTGATGCCTCTGGTTATTTTCAGCTTCATAAACGGGTTTAGTTCTGCTACTATCAGGGATTCATTGCAATGGTCTCTGAATCTTTGAGTCATGCGTCCAATTGTAAACATAGGACCAACTGGGTGCATTTTTAGAGAGAATAGGTGTTTTCTTCTCAGGAGGTTGTATTCAGCCATTGGTCGAGCAAAGTGGGATTATAACTGAGGACCAGTCCAAGCCGTCATCCGCCAGGGCATGAGTCTAAGAGAACAAAATACTTTCCCATTTATGGGATGTTCTTCCTGAGAAATTCAGCCTTTTCCTTCAGGAACCACAGTGATCCCTATGCTGGAGGTAACCAGCACAACCAGTGGTCATTCATTACTCTTCCTCTCTGAGGGACTCAGCCACCTGGGCCTAGTCACAGGGCTCCCTGTGCTCTAAGGCTGCTGCTGGTACTGTCCTTCGGTGGCAGTGTAGAAGTCATCCAGGACACTCTGTAAGTAATCGAATGTGGGTCTCTCTTCGGCCTTTTCTTTCCAGCACATTTTCATAATATCATAGAGCTCATCTGGGCAGTTCTCCACGCGAGGCATCCTGTAGCCCTGGGCCAGGGCGGCCATCACGTCAGCATTAGTCCTCCCTAGGGCAGAAAACAAAACAAACCACGCCATTCAGAATCCCAACCGAGGCTCCGGTGCTGAGTGGTCTTCCTACTACTCAGATCCCATAACACGACTGAAGCAAGCTTTCATAAGCTGCACTGTGTGCTCCCAAAATTCATAACCCTCAGCACCTAAGAACATTAACTGTTACAGCAGGTAATTTATGTTAAAGCCAGGTCAGTGACCCCTATAGGGTGGGCCCTACTCCATATGACTGGTCCTAATAACATTAGGATGCAGAGACCACATAAGGACACAGTAAGAAGGGAAGCGTTTATAAGCAAAGGAGAGGGGCCTCGGAAGAAACGGAACCTGTGGGCACCGTCACCTTGGGTTTCCAACCTCTAGAAAAATGAGAAAATAAATTTTGACATTTAAACCAGTCTGTGGTATCTGTTAGTAAACTTTTTGTAAGCAACTTAATAAATATGATTTAGAGAGGCAGACATGGTGGGTCACACCCATAATCCTAGCACTCTGGGAGGCCGAGGTGGGTGGACTACTTGAGCTCAGAAGTTCCAGATCAGCCTGAGCAAGAGCAAGAGTGAGACCCATCTCTACTAAAGATTGAAAAACTAGCCAGAAATTGTGGTGAATGCCTGTAGTCCTCCTACTTGGGACGCTGAGGCAGGAGGCTCACTTAAGCCCAGGAGTTTGAAGTTGCTGTGAGCTATGATGATGCCATAGCACTATAGCCTGGGCAACAGAGTAAGACTTTGTCTAAAAAAAAAAAAGGAGTTTTAGTATGGAGGGAATCAAAATACCATTTAGTCCACAATAAAAATAGGCAAATGAGTTAAGCAGAAGTCAAAGCCGCTCTGTCATCATAAAGGGATATTGGACTGACCCAACCTTTAAAAATTAATCACTCAAACCCACTTCTAACACTGAATTTCAATTACCTTTATGGGATAGAATTTTTTCAGCTTTTACTTGTAGTATATGAAAATATCATTTCCACACACATTATCTTATACCAGTGTTCATTTTTTAAATTGGCTTTTTATTGCATATTTACATTAAAATTCAGTGTCCTTAAATCAGTCAGAACAATTGGTTATATGCTTGCCAAAAAGTTAAAAACTCCAGGATTGATTTGGAAAATAATGATGGTTTAGATAATTAGAAAGACATTTGTCTGTAGTTTGTGCTATGTACCTTGTTGAAGTGGTTGTCTTCTAAGAGCAAAATAGTAATTCAGAAGAAGCCTAGCTAGTTCATATACTCATTAAATCAGTATCTGGCTGGAGTCAAAGCTCACGCTGATTCTGGAATTTGCATATTCTCAACCTTCCTATTGTGTCTTCGAGAGGGGACTGATGGTAGAAGATGGCTTAAATGTCTCATGGTAGAGGATGGCTTAAATGTCTCGGTGCAGCTTAGAAGATGGCCTATCCTTATTTGATCCTAAGACTAGTTTTAAGGCAAAAAGAAGATCATTGTAATCATAGCCTTTCCCTCCACTATTAAAATGAGGTAGAGAAAGCTCGCGTAGCAGGAAGTATGCACATCTGTCTACATCTCCATGTTGGCCATGTTTTGTGGACACCCTATCCTGGAGGGAAGTGAGCGTCTCTAGAGAACTCTATTTTGTGCAGAGAATATTTTTGTGTGGAATGTATATAGGATCTGGCATACGAGAGGCATTCTATTCATCACCACCAACTTCCTTTTCATAATTGTTTCCTTTCCATGGCTGTCGACTTCATCAGCAGTCACTGGAAAAATCTAAATGTAGGTAGCAGCTTAGGGGAAACGGTTTTAGTAGACTTGAAACAGAATCTTCTTTTGAATGTAGCCCCTAATCAGTGTTTTGCAAACTGTGGGTCACCTCCCACTTGGGATTAACAAATTTATTTTTTAGGGCGCTACCAATATTTTTTTAAATATTGGTAGAATCAAATAGAAAAGATTAAAAACGTATTGCTCCATAGTAAAAGTCTGTGTGCTTTTGCAAAAATTACTCCATTACCTATGGAGTAAGTGTCTGTGTGGTTCTCACTGGGGCTTCCTATCAGTGAACTCAGAAACCCTCTGCCTTTAGTAACCTTTCTTTGTCTAAGGCACAGCAGTTCTCAACCTGTGAGTGGCAACCCACAGGAACTGTATTAAAGGGCTGAGGCATTAGGAAGGTTGAGAACCCCTGGACACATGACCCTCCCTGAATTTAAACCCCTAGAAGAAGATGTTATCATTTCTGTCTTGGAAGATCCCCTGTTTTTTGACATAGAAGGAGCTAAGCAAACTTCTTTTCTTTTGCCTCCCAAGTACTTAGGACTACAGGTACCTGCTACAATGCCTGGCTATTTTCTGTTTTTTAAAGACTGTTTTTGAACACCTGAGTTCGAGCAATCCACCTGCTTCAGCCTCCCAGAGTGCTAGGATTGCAGGCTTGAGCCACCACACCTGGCCTGGCTTGAGCACAGACAAGAGGATCACCTGAACCCAGGATCACTGAGATCTATCCAGAGTTTTTTACATGTGAATTAATTTTTCTCAAGTCTACTTCTGAAACACCATCTTCAACTATTTGTGTAAATGGCATTTTCTCACTGAGAGACGTCATTTGATTCTCACTGCTCAAATCAAAGGCAGACTTGTACCCCCTTCTTTACGTAAGGTTTTAGCCCCCATAAAATTATGTGGCTCTGGCTGTTGTAAGTAGCCAAGCTCACTTGGATAAATTTCAGAAGAAATAGCTGTGCTTACTTCCTCACGGGCTTCAGGTGGAGTTCTGGGCTCCTGGTGGGAGGGAACTAACATCCAGACAACGTAAACAGCAACTGGACCTGCAAACTTCTTAGGAGTATCTCTTTCCCATCCTTCCTGGAGAACCTCAGTCGCATAAAAAGTCAGAATGTGTCCCCAGAAGAAAAACCTTGCTAAGGTCAATCAAGTCCCACTGCAGCTCTTCTCTTCCCTGTTCTTAGTATGTTTCCCTAAGTCTAAAGACTTCTCAACCCTGCTGACCAAGTCCAGGCATCCTCTACCTGCATGGGGAATTTGACTTGGTAAGAGGAATTGGAAGAAGGGAAACTGAAATCTATCTTTTTTTTTTTCTTTTATCTTTTTGAGTCAAGAATCTTACTCTGTCACTCAGGGTAGAGGGCTGTGGCCTACCTCACTCACAGCAACCTCAAACTCCTAGGTTCAGGTGATCCTCTTGCCCCAGCCTCTGGAATAACTGGGACTACAGGTGCCCACCACAATGCCCAGCTAATTGTTTACTATTTTCTTTTTTTTTTTTTTTGAGACAG